AATTTTCAAAGTTTTAGAACAACTTGGACGAGCTAATATTCTGCCTTTGAAAGCTCTTACCGGGTTACTTTCAAAATCTAAGAATTAATTTGCAAATAATTTAAAATTAACAGCAATAGTTCGGTACCATTTTAAAAGATCTAGGACAACTAGGGTGGGGTAATTTCCAAACGTTTAAAACTCTTACTAACCGCTTGGGTAACTTGCAAATTTTAATATCAGACTTGCAAATTCATGCTAATTATTAGTTATTGTTCGGTGCTGATTTTAAAGTTCTAGGTCAAAACTAGTGGGCCAACTTCACAATTTCAAAAGTTTATAGTGGCTGGCCAAATGACTGGCAAATTTCCAAAAGGGGCTTACAAATACATGCTAATTATTAGCTTTGGTTTGATAACGATTTCGAAGATCTGGGTCTAAATGTGTAGGCTACTTGAAATTATTCCAACTTTTAATTTTTTGGTTTCATTGTGAAAGTTTGGACATGCTAATTCTAAAAATAGACTTAAAATATTTTCAAATAACTTGCAAAATAATGGCATAGATTTTTAAAAACTGAGATGGGCCATCTTCAAGAACGTCGTTCCCCCGCCCACACAGAGTTTTTAATTTTTTCAAGGGCCGAGGTTGAGCAGGAATTCCGGGAGTGGTGGCAATAATTGGTAGGAATGGAGCACTAAATATTAAGTTTAAAAATTGAAATTCTTACTTTTTTTTTTTAGGAAAAAATGTAATTCTATAATTTTTATTTAAACTTAACAGTTATTTTATATTATAAATATGGTAAATATCATTAGCTGTATGCCTGTATTTGTTTTAAGGAAACGATTTATGTCGGATAATTACTATGATTATTATACATAATTTTAATAAATATGCTTTGAACTAAAGTATAGATTATAGAGACAGTGAATTGTGGAATAAAAATCCTAGGAAAAAAACTCCCGAAGAATAATCACCAAAAAAAATCCCCAACACTAAGAAAATAAATAGATAAAGTATGATAAATAAATAGTATAGTATATTATTGTGAAAAATTAAATTTGAGTAAATTAATTAATTTTTTTATATTTTTATGTGAATATATATAGTGGTGTGGGGGCATTGCCCCCACGGGTTACTTTTCATATAATATCAGGGGGGCTATGCCCCCCAACATTTTAGCCCTAGTTGAGCCAATGGTGGGAAAATGTACTTAGTATGTTATCCAGTCAGTATTAGGTTAGTATTATACCCTGACTGATCTGTTCGCATATGTTTATGATCCATGGGTAGTAGGTATAACCTAATAATAAGTAATAACTAAATTTGAACCATATTACTATAAATTACACTTTTAGAAATCAAAACAATTAAACAAATGAATATTATTGCATTATACCTATATTTATGTCATTCGTAATATTATAATGATCTTTAATCAATGATGATATTACGATTATAATTTTTTTTTTGTCATATTTTTATTTATCTTAAAGGCTGATGCTTGACCTCAGGAAACGTTAGTCACGTATGCAAACCACATCATAATGCAAACAATATACCAAAGTCCTCGTTTAAGTGATTTATTAGTCAAATAAATTATATCATAGGTAAAAAATATATTTAATTAGTTATTATAGCAGTAGGTACCTACCTGCATCTAATGATTTCCATTCGATGTCATTATCTGATAAATTACCAGAAGAAGTAAGAACTACTTATGGTTTGACGCATATAATAATTTTTATAGGTTAGTAGGTGGTAAGGAGTTTCTATTATCAACAAAATATTTAGCACAAAAATAATGATTAGGTTAACAGACTGTACTTTTAAATTTTTAATAGTCTAATTTATTCTATCAAATATTTATTTTAATTTTTTTAAATTTATTTATTACAATTTCAAAAATTGTAACAATATCGTAGGTAAAATGAAAAGGTAATAATAGATCGAACGAAAACGGCGTATATTACTAAATAGGTGCTTATTGTAAACGCCATGAGATCATAATAATAATTGTATTATTGTTATAATTTAAATTAAATTGCATATCTAACTCAATTATATTTTAATATTATGTTACTTAGTTTAACATACAAAACTGGATCCGTAAAATCAAAAATCAATTTAACTTCTATGAGTACTTAATACTTAGTCACTTAGATATTATGTACCTACTTATGTAGGTACACAACAGTTTTATAAATACCTACTATCTTATTAAAATACATTATAATATTACTCGAGCGTAATAAAATAAATAACAAAATATTATAATCAACAAAGTGTTTAATGTATGAAGAATTTAAATTAAAATGTTATCATTATATTTGATAATTTACTACAATAGATTTGTAATTATGTTAACAACAAGACTTGATCAAAACGTCATGACTCATGATAAATTCTGCAACGATTCTGCATGATAGTTAATTATTACGTATTCGTAAATTTAATATTATTAAAAACCAGCTTTTCAATTTATGATAATGTGAATGATAATTTGATATGCAAAACATGATAAAACTAAAACAACTGAGAAAAATCTTTGTCTAGAAAATTATACTGCAGAAGGAACTTTAGCGACACCTATTGGATCCCTCAACCCGTCCGGCCATAGAAGAAAATATAAATATAACACACCTACAAATGATTCGTTTTACCTGTTTGCCAGTGTCACATAATAATATTATACGTTGTGCAGGCAAACTATTCTCTTGCGACCAATGTTAGCTTTTCCATCTCTTACAGAACCATAATATCATAGAAGTCGGATATCGTTTGCATTTTAAAACCCGTATACATCTTTAATCTCATTTGAGTATACACCTATCTTCCTATAATTAATGTTTTAATAATTTTAACTGACTTTGTTATGAAACCTATATGAAATAAAGACGAAGGTGGTATATTATAATATTTATATGTGATATATTCATAATTCGTATATGAATAAAAACTAATTCATTTTTTTAAATGCCTTTCCTCTTTTAAGAAAAAAAATCGAGAGTATCTACACTACATACAGATACATCGGTACATGTATACGTCTTATTTCTACTGAATATAGTTGACATAAGAATGTCGATGTCAATTTCGTATTAGATACGAGGAGATGAGGATTAAACTTACTGTAGGTAACTTTTTTAACACGTAAAAAATAAACAAGTTTCAAATACATTAATTATTTATTTATTTTTCAAAGACAGCAATTATTTATTGAGTATACATTTTTCTAAATTTTCAATTTAAACTACAGAATCGTCATTTATAATACTTTTAGTGATGGATAATAAAGGACGGTGTGTACTGAAATATGAAACATACTCACGAGTTTCAAGCTTCTCGATGTGCCGGTAAAAAAATAATAATAATCGCACCAATTACGTCATGGTAACATTCTCGGTGTCGGACAAATTAACAGAATGACCCCCAATCATAAGACATATACATGTTAAAATTTAAATTTAGTTTAAGCTAGGCTCACCTCGGGCTACAAAAATTTTAAAATTGTAAAAATAATACATTTTTCGAAATTATTAATGTTTGTATCATAGGTAATCATAATTTTATTATCGATAGAAAAAGAAATTCAACATTCAAATAAGTAATTAATTGTAAGAAACTAAATGTACAATTAATATTGTAACCCACATATATATTTTTGTACATTTTAAATATTTGAATGAAAGGTCGAAATCTATAAATTCATAATCATTCTGGTCGTTTTTACATAATATGAATATTTCCTATAGGTACCTATAGTACCATAGTACTAAAATTATTACGATTAGATGCAAATAACTTTGACAGTGTAACCTATGTAGTTGAAATTATCTTAGAATCATTATTATTACTATCGTACATTAATCCATTGGTAATTATAATCATCAAACATCTGATCTCAAAATTATTATTAGTTAATTCTATTGTAGATAGTCAACTACTGTTATTTTGCTAACAATTTCTAGTTGACAGAAATACAACATAGGTACATCAAAATTAATAACTAATAAGTATATTCTTCAGTTTCTTAAGTTGTAACTGTTTAGTTATATTATATTGTACGCGGTAGGTATAACTATTATAATAAAAATAGTAATTAAGAGTAGTTTTTTTGAATAGGTATTTTTTCATTAAAATATATTTCATATCAAAATAATAGATGGCAATAAATTTAAATTACATCATATATATTTTGCATCATACACCAATTTATTTATAGGTACTCCTACAATATGATGATACAAGAAACGATAATTTTGTTTGCGGAGGTCACGCACACCAACTAGACAAGAACATAAATGTATATAAAATATGAAAGAAGTAGGATGACAGAAAAATATGTAACACACAAAAGGAAAAAAATGTAGACTGTATTAAAACTAGACGATTTTTTTGACATAGATTTAAAATATATTTAGAAAGACAATCAATTTTCAGTAGCATAGAAATAAAAAGTCTGATGTGCATCGTTGCTTGCCAATATTTTTACAATAGTGCGAACTGCATAGGGTAGGAATCATGTGACAATTAATAAGAGAAAAGATGGTGGTCGTAAAGAGTTAGTAGTTTCATTAAGTTTTGAGTTTATTATAAAAATTATATTTTTATAAGTGAATTGAGATCTTGAATTTGTAATAGTAAGAACTTAATTTTAGGTTAAACTGTACTACTTCAGTTTTCATCTAGCTATAATGAATGTAAGATGCGTACACTAGAGCATTCTTATTTGAAGATAATAATGCTGCGTCCAACAAGTCAACATTTAAACTAACTGTTAATAATTTATCATAATTTCGAAGTGTCAGTAAAAAATATCGTAGATAATATGATAACAAAATATTTGTGACCGTACAAGGAAAATATGTTGTTGTTGACTTCATGGTGATTTCCTCGTAGCCAGCATTTTTGGGTGTTACTCGCAGAGATATCGTTGATAAGGAAGAAGAGATGATGTAACTCGTTGAATTTTAATTAAGAAGATGTTTATTGTGATAGTGAGATAATTGTTACGAATGAAGGGGGGGGGGGGGTGGTTGTGCTGTGGTGGTAACGAAGATGTTGAGCCGCAGAATGTCGGTGAAGGTGGAGTGGGACGTTGTGTCTCGGTGCTGGTCCTCTGGAGACTAAAAAGGGCACGGGAGTTCGAGATTGGTGAGACGGAGTCGTTGCCGCATCGATCGTCGTTCCATAGAAAAGTAAGTCGTTCGTTCGGTCGTGCAGCCCGGAGGCTCAGGACTAGGGATTCGAGTCTGGTCGAGCTGGTCGAGAGCGGTACGTGTGTACACGACGGCAGTCGTTATCAGAGAGCATAGATAAGTATAATATAAGAGAGTAAAATGCCAGAGAGAGCGAGTCGAGCCTGTCACGCCACAACGTCCTTGGAGACGCTGCGACATGACGGACGCGGGTCGGTGTCGCCAACCGCAGCAGGGGCACCGTAGAGAGGGAGTACAACTGTGGTGATGATTCACCACAATATCTTAGATAATATGATAAAAAAATAATAATTTTGACTATAATTTATCAAAATAAGAGGCAGTTGCTATGTATAATATTTTATTTCTTTTATTTTGTTTAAGAGCAGCATCTGTCAACGAATAATGAAAATAAATGTTTTTAAAGTTGTATGAAATGTGAATTTGGTAGACCGTGAATTAACAACATCATAAAATATAGGATCCGGTATGCAAGCAATTTCTGATTATTCAAATATTTAATAGTGTCCAACATTTCGAAGTCAGTTGGTTGTATAATACGTGAATGGTAGGTACTAAACTGGTCAGATGTGGCATTGAAAACTTTCGCATTGTTTTTGGAGGGACGGGAAGTTGGTCCCTAAATAATTTAACCCACGCAAACCCGACGACGGTGGGTCAAGTTTTTGACGTCGGATTGTCGAGAATACAAAGTTCCATCACATCGTTTACACACGAACATTGAATGTCAGGTGGATCGGAAACATCACAGAGGTAAGTTATTTCTATATGTTACATCACTAACGTTGCACTATATGTGATATAAAAATTTCAATACACTGTTGGGAAAAATATTAAGTTGTTATATAGTAAGCAACGACATAATTAATGTAAATAGCTGGCACCTATAATTCCAATAGTACCTAAATATTGAAATATTTTTCTATTCATAACAACCATATAAAAAGCGATGCCAACATGTGTGTGTCTCCTTAATACAAACAATGCGGGCAAGTGGGTACCACTCTTCTGTATACGTGTCGTGTGGGTCACTATAATGTACCTATAGGTTAAATTTGAATTCAGTAATATAAAATCATTTTATACGAAAAACGAATCTGAGCGAAGATGGTCTGTCGACATATTATAATGTACTATAAGTATATTTTATGATAATATAATATTTCTATTAACGTAATTTATTTTACTATTTATAATGAGTATATTGCACATCTAGAACAATACTGCCACAACTCAAAATATATAGTTTTGAGAACTAACGATTAACTGCTTAAATCTAAGATATTTTTAAGAGTTCTTTATCTGTGCGTTTGGAACTTATAACTTAAATACTTACTTGCAAACATACTTCACTAGGTATATGACTTTTTTATAGCTATAACCCAAAAAGTTAGACTTATGTAATTTTACAATTTTATAAGTAAATACAATACTGCATTTTTTTGAGATGTGGCAGTAAAACATTTCTATTTATAAATAAAAGTCAGACGTATTTCGTATCGCAACTACAATTTTACAAAAGCCACAACTCTAAATGCATTGCTTTTTTGCACTCAATATTACAATTAGTATAGATTTAAATATAGGGCAGTCTTGAATTTTAACTTCAGTGATTAATTGGAGAAACTAAAATACGAAGATATAATTTTAAAAGACGTAAAATCAATGCATGGAGGACCAGACTGGAAATCACGAGTGGTTGATAGGGAAGGTTGGAAAATAAGATATGATGATATTATGAGACGGGATAGTCTAATGGTCGACAAAAAAAAAAAAAAAAATTTACTTTTTTTTCAATCAATGTCTGATATTTTGTTGTAATTAAAAAAACAAAATATAACTGTAAATACTCTAGATTTTCACTTAATCTTATCGTTTTCGATACACGATCGCATTTTCAAAATATTTTAATTCTTTTTGAGCTATTTATAAGAGCTGTTTTCCTTGTCCAAACAGCTTGAAATTAAAATGCAAAAAAAATAACCATTTTGTCAAAATTTAAATCGTTAGATAATACTGTTAATACGCGTATATTAAATCACTATATTTGTCAAAACCCGAAATAATATGAGTATGGTTATTGGTTAGCATATATTGATTTGTCTAATCAATGTACATTATTGATTATAGCCATCAAAATATGTTACATGAAACGCTTTTGTGGAGTAGATAGTGTAAAACACAAGACTGGTTCGAGTTTCGGTGTTCGTAATTAAATATTGAATCCTTACCCGGCCTACTCGACCACAGATGCATTTAATTATGCACTCTCGTGGAGGATATTCATCAGACGAATAACATACAACTATGCAGTATAATATTATTATCACATTGACGGAAATTCAAGAATAAGTACTGCCATAGGAGTGGCCAGTGTTGTTTATTGGTGACGGAATGTAACACTTTTGATTAATACTAATTTTTTAACTAGCACCTACTAAAAATACCAATCGAATTTGCTGTATCAGTTGTATTTTTGGGGCGTGGACCAGTGGGGCTCAAAAGAAAATTTGTATTTTAGGGTCAGTATACCAATTATTAGGCTGTTTATATTTTAAGTTGATCTACTAATTGAGTTGCTTATACATATGTAGTAAGGGGAAAATACGCGGGGGACAAATTAGTTGTAAAGGGGAGAATAAGGTGGAAGGGGAAGGTAAAGGTTATAGGGGAGAGATATGTGTGTTATAATAAATATTGGAGATTTCCGCATATGATCGCCCTACTACTGTGTTGTACCTAACTGTCTAATGATATTTGAATTACCTACTTTTATTATACAAACATTTAAACACTTACCTCACTGTAGCTGGTTTTCTTTTAAGTGGTTTGTAGTTCTTCGGGGTCGTGTTCGACAGTCGATATCACGATGACAATACATGTATATTATTTTATGTGATCTGTAGGATTTCGTATATGATTTCTACCTGTGACTATCATCATATGCTCTTAAAATCCTTGCATTAGCAATAGGAGTACGTATAGTTTCTCCGCCAACCGAATGTAATTTAGAGTGATAAATATTTGGTATTACACATTTATATCTTGAACACAGCTCTTAGAATTCCTACATTCGTGGCAGCTAGTACGTATAGTCCAACCGTCGACCGAATGTAATTTAAGTTAATTGAGCACTTACTTCTATACTTATATTCTAATGTAGCTCTTAGAATCCCTACACTCGTGGCAGCTAGTACGTATAGTCCAACCGTCGACCGAATGTAATTTAAGTTAATTGAGCACTTACTTCTATACTTATATTCTAATAAAGCTCTTAGAATCCCTACATTCGTGGCAGCTAGTACGTATAGTCCAACCGTCGACCGAATGTAATTTAAGTTAATTGAGCACTTACTTCTATACTTATATTCTAATAAAGCTCTTAGAATCCCTACACTCGTGGCAGCTAGTACGTATAGTCCAACCGCTGACCGAATGTAATTTAAGTTAAGAGAGCACTTATTACTATACTTGTGTTCTAAAACATAAATGTGTAGTAACGATGTGACAGACCTATAATATGATGACTGTCACAGAACCTTATGTTTTGAAAGACCAATGGATAGGTTAGTGTAAAAAGATGAACAATTTTAATTTAACTGATAAAGAGACAACCAATTTAGACAGACATACCGTGTGAAGGAATGGTTCAATATACATATATTGTATACGCATAAACGCACAGTGATATGGCTTGGACAGCAGTGGAAAAAGATCGTGATGTTGACTGGCGTGGACCTTGTGCATCTCCGGAATAGACACTGGCGTGGACCTTGTGCATCTCCGGAATAGACACTGGCATGGAGTCGATTTTCTGTGGCCCTTATATAATGTGATTTTGGTTGATCCCTTCTTCTTATGCATGGATTAAAGTATTGATATATTTTTATTATTTCGTGTGGTGTGACAACGGTACACCTGGTAATTTATAGTTTTGTTTTGACCGAACGTCTTGATTGGAGAATTATCGAAGGGGACTTGAAGTATATAATATATATATATATGTGTACGTACACGTGTGATGTACGTATATGTATACGCAAGAATGCTTTCATGATTTTATAATATACGGTGTTTACTGGCGCCGTTGATATTTGATTGTGTTGTCTCCACTAAATATCTGGTCGGAGAGGTGTAGAATATTATTTATGTGTTGCAGGTGCTGCGTGTATGTAAAAGGAGTGCGTATATTGTAGGTATATATGTGTCTAATGCGTACGTATATATGCATATCGGACCACCCACACTCCATAATATGGTCCGTTTTCATTATTTGTCTCGTGTTTTATTTTAAGTCTAAATATTATATATTACAAATTGCACACAATTCGATTTTGCACTGTGTCCCCACAGTGCTTATTATAAGTTAAATACTATATAAATGTTATTGACAGTTATTGTATAATTGTTAATGATAGTTATATAATATGAGATGTATTAAGTTTACAATATTGTTATGTTTATTATATATGGTTTTTCATGTGTGACATATTGTCATGTGGATAGTTATATAAATAATTTAATTAGTTTTACAAGATTGGTTAATTATTATTTTAATATTTTAGTTTACATAGTTGTATCGTATACCTTTTCAAGATAATTATATAATGTTAAGTATCTAGTTGATGTATAAGTGAGTAAAGTCGATATATAAAAGTAAAAAGTAGATAATGATAGTTATTGATATGATGCGTATTATGAGTTTATACAATTTGATGTGGCAAGATGTAATAATAACAATGGTTAAATCTAGTTATATTCTATGTAATGAAATAATGTATATAATGAGTTAGGGTTTTCATTAAACTATTCTAAGATTGATTTTTAATTTTAATTAAGATATACTTGGTGCGAATTAATCTATTTTGTGATTTAAATAATATTATTAATTTTACAATCTCTTAATATTTTGACAATATTATGCTTATTACGTGTTTTTGTTAGTATGTATTGATGATACAGTTCAAATATATTTGATAAAAATATTGTACAAAGTGAATAGGATTTTTCATAGGCGTGGTGTTTTAGATATTGTTGTATTTTGTATTAGATAAAAGTTAAGGATGTGTGAAATATAGTGGGAAAAATATTTTGAA